TATATATATATTAAAGTATTAAGTATAAGTGTATTACTCATCTTATAGTAATATACTTATATATTATATACTATAAACATTATATTATATATTACTTATAATAGTAGTTAATTGTTAGACTTCTAATTTATCTATTAAATTAGTTAATTGTTACAATTCTCTACATTTCTCTTTCAAAAATTAAATAGTTAAAGTAGTATATTTTTACATTTGTCATATTTCAATTAGTTAAAGTACTTAATTGTTTCATTTGTCATATTAAAATTAGTTATTTCATACATTGCTCATTAAAGTAAAAAAAAAAAAACTAGTTAAGTTTTACATTTGTCATAATAATATTAGTTAAACTACTTAATTGGTACATTTTTCATATTAATATTAGTTACTTGCTACATTTCTCATTAAAGTAAAAAAAGTAGTACATTTTTACATTTGTCATATTAATATTAGTTAAAGTATACATTTCTCATTAAGGTAAAAATAACTAGCAAATTTTTACATTTGTCATTTTAAAAACTACCTAAAGTAGTTAATTGTTAAAATTGTCATATTAATATTAGTTAAACTACCTAATTGTTACATTTCTCATATTAATATTAGTTAATTTGTACATTGCTCATTAAAGTAAAAAAAAACTAGTTAATTTTTACATTTGTCATATTTATATTAGTCAAACTAGTTAATATTTAGTTAATTGATACATTTCTCATTAAAGTATTAATTAGAAGTAGTTCGATTTGTATACTCATATTTTAGTTCGAATTCGCAATAGTTTTCTTAGTCACATTTTATTATTACTATTGTACTCATATAAAATATTTGATATCATTTAATATTTGTTCAATTTTAAAGATGGAACGTGGTAGACATTCTGTAGATGTGGGTAATCTCCAACGCAACCGCAAGAGGGAGATTGCGTCGACTCGTCCTAATTCACGCAAAGGCAAAGGTAAAGCGCGGGCCGAGTCTTCTTTTCAAAGTCGAGATGATTTTGAAACGGATTACCAACGGAGAGATGATATGATGATGTCCGACGAGCATCTACAAAACCTATTGTCCCAAAACGATCCACGCTTTGCACAAGAACAACCCATCCCGACAACCATTGATGAAGAGGAGCTCGAGGATGACGATGCGGAGGAGGACGCGGGGGGCGACGGGTCTCACGGCACCCCGGATGATGAGCAAGACTTGGAGGACGAGGGCGGTTCAACCCAAACTGGTAAGAAATCTAAATCTCCTATTATTGAAAACAATTTTACAAAAAGGAAAGACAAAAATACCGAAAAATGGTACGCAAGTTGCAATCATTGCGGCAAAGAGTATAGCTTGGGAACTTCTGGCGGATACGGGAGTCTCACAAGGCATCTTAAATCCGCCCATCTTGTGGAGTATGCAAAAATAGACAAGGGCAAGGGGAAGCAAACACAAATATCGAGGTTTGCAAATTCTCAACCCTTTGGTAATTTCTCCTATGATGATCAAAAACATTTGACTGGTATGTCTCATTTAATTGTTGAAGAAAATTTACCCTATATTTTTTCCGAAAGTCTTGCGTTAAGAGATTATGCTCAAGGCACTTTAAATCCTCAATTTAGAAATTATAGTCGCAAAACGATTAAAAAAGAAGTTATAAGGCAATATAACTTCGAAAAAGAAAATTTACAAACATTTTTCGCAAACTTTAATGGACGTGTTAGTATTTGTAGCGATATATGGGAGGATACTTATCATCATTTATATTATTTGGGTCTTACTGCACATTATATTGATGATGATTGGAATATGCATAAACGTGTTCTTGCATTTCGTGAATTCAATGATCGTCATACTGGTGATAATATTTATATTCTCATTGAGCGTATTTTAATTGAGTATAATTTGCTTGATAAGGTGTTTGCTGTAGGTTTTGATAATGCTAGTAATAATACTGCTGCTATACCTAGATTGCGTGAATTGTGTGGTGCTTCTACATTGATGGGTAGGTTTTTTCATCAACGTTGTGCATGTCATATTCTAAATTTGTGTGTACAAGATGGATTAGCGGCATTAGGAAATGCTTTGGAGGTAGTGAAGGGGGGAATTAAATTGATTTGGGCTAACACTCCACTAAAAATGCAATGGCGACAATATTTGAAGGAAAGACGTGTCAATTATTGTGCTTTTCCTAAAGATTTGTCTATTCGTTGGAATAGTACTTATAACTTAATTCAAGTACTTATTAGATATAAAGAACATTTTCCTGCTTTTTTAAGACAAACTTGTAACTATATTATAAACCCGGCTGACATCGACACTTGTGAAAAAATTGTTAATGTTTTGGTATATTTTAATAACGCAACTCAAACTTTTAGTCATGTTTATAAACCTACCGCAAACGAGTTTTTTGTTGAAGCTGTTAATCTCGCCGGCGCATTTTTAGAATTTTCCGATGCCGCTTACGTTAGTTATTTTTGTGATTTCATGAAACAAAAATTTTTAAAATATTATTCACATATTCCGCATATATATGGTATTGCATTTGTTCTTGATCCTCGTTATAGACTTGCCGCGTTGCCAAATTGTATAGATTACTATTACAATTGTTTTTTTCCAACTCAAGAGTTCGATGATAATCCCATCGACCCTAAACAAGAATACAACGAGGTTAGTAATTTATTTCATCAATTGTATAATGAATTTTATGCACAATATGGTAATGCACCCCCTCCCATGCCGCGAACATCTTCTTCATCTAAAGGAAAATCACTTTTAAAATCTGCATTTGGTTCTCTTATGAAAAAAAGTAGAGCAACTCCCGCTACTGAACAAAGCTCAGTTAACGAGCTTTCTATCTATCTAACATTGAATGTTGATTATGAAGTTGGGGATGATTTTGACGTTCTTAAGTGGTGGAAGGACAATGAAAGAACGTTCCCGGTTTTATCAAAACTGGCTAAGCAAGTGCTAGCAATGCCGATATCAACAGTTGCCGTGGAACAAGAATTTAGTGCGGCCGGCAACGTCCTAACTGATTATAGAACGAGGTTGAGCCCGAGCTCTCTTGAGACGCTAGTTTGCTTCCATGATTGGTTGAAGGCCAAACGAAGAACTCAAGAAATGACCATCGCTCCCACCCGCCACTTTATGGAGGAAACAACCACCGAAGGCGGAGATTCCGATTGATTTTTTATTTCAAAATGTATTACATATTTTAAATGCATCCTAATTCTCATGTACTTCTTATTTGAAATAAATATACTTGAATTATTTTATATTATTGTGTACATCAATTCAATAATTCAATTCAATAAAATTCATTTGTAAACTTGTACTTCATATGTAGCACTTCTCAAATTAATTAATTGGTTACAATTTTACAAACTTATAACTTACAACTTGAAATTATTTTTGTAAAATCTAAAGGCTGTTTTTAAATTAAAATATGTAATATTAATATGTAAATTAATTAATTTGTTACAAACTTACAAGTTACAACTTATACACCTATTTTGTAACATTTGTAAATTATAAATGAAATCACTTTTCTAAGTAAAAATAGTTTTACTTAATTAAAAAATTAAAAACATTTTCTAAATCAAATCACTTTTCTAAATCATATCACTTTCCTTACACTTTTCTAAATCAAATCACTTTTCTAAGTAAATTATACACAATATGTATAATTTTCAAAAAAAAAGAAAATTAAAACATTTTGAAGTGGGACATTCCTCCCAAACGGCTATATAGCCGTTGGGGCTTAGGGTGGGGGGTGGGGGGGGGGTCGCGGGGGTGGTGGGGTGGGGGTGGGGTTCAAAAAAATCTATAAATACATCTATTTTCTACCATTTTCTACACCTCTTCTCCAACTCTTCTCCATCTTCATCTTCTCTTATTATCCTACATTTCTACTTATACATCTACCATTTTAAAGATGGAAAGTAATTCTTCTGTTATGCAAAACAACTTTGACAAGTGGAAGGATCCGAAGACCGGACTGTGGTGGGCAACTTGCAAGTTGTGCAAGAAAGAGTGTTGCTTGGGGCGTTCACACGGAGTCGGGATGCCAATGAAACATATGAAGTCATGTGACAAAGGTAAAACAACAACCAACGGTGGCGGAAATCCCAATTGATATTTATTCGAAAATGTATTTCATATTGTTATTTTTTCCTCAATTCTCAAATGTACTTCCTATTTCAAATAAATGCACTTGAATTTTGTTTTTCATAACAATTATTATAATTATATAGTATAGAATATAAAAAAAAAAAATTAAAAGGACCGGCCCGAACCGGGCCCGGCCCGTGAACCGGGCGGGCCACCCGGCCCGAACCGGACCCGGGGTTACCCGGGCCGGTTCCGGGCCTCCCAAACCGTGAACCGAGGCCCGGCCGGTTCAAGGCCCGAACCGGGCCCGGCCCGAACCGAGTCCATCCCTAGTCCAAGCTAGAAGGTAATATACACTCCAATGATACGCTACTAGCTTGAGTATTTTAAAAAATTGCAAGCAAGTCCTTGGGAGTAGTGGTGGACTCGGGCCGGTTCGGGCCCGGTTCGGGCCCGGTTCGGGCCTGGGCCCGGCCGGGCCGCGGGCCAGGAAAGTTGGGCCCGAGCCCGAACCGCCGGTGGGCGGTTCCGGTTCCGGGCCAAACCGGGCCGGGCCGGGCCTAACCGGTTATAATTTTTTTTTTTTGGCTCTTCTATTTAACCCCCAACCCCTCCCCCTCAACCCCAAACCAACTCAAATGGCCCAAAATACCTAATCCAACCCAAAACTTAAAAAAATTCAAAAAAAAAAAAAAAAAAAAAAAAAAAAAAAAAAAAAAAACGGCCCGAACCGGGCCCGAACCGGCCGGGCCGGTTCACCAAAAACAGGGCCCGAGCCCGAACCGCCCAGCAGCCGGGCCGGGCCGAACCGAACCGGTGGACCCACCGGGCCCCGGGCCGGGCCGGGCCAAACAGTAACCGGGCCGGACCGGTTCCGGGCCGCCCGGCCCGAGTCCACCACTACTTGGGAGGAACAATTGGAGATGCTCTTATTCAATGACTGATTCAGCAATATCACTACCTATTTACATTATACTTGTTCTATGACTGATTCAGCAATATCACTGCCTTGCTCACTTCAACTTGGAACTATTTTAGAGTTTCATTAACTCATTTGGGATACAGAATTGATACACAAAAATTTAAATATTTAAGGAGATATTATGATGAATAAGAATAGCATTACAATGATGTAATGAACTGAAGAATCAAATCAACCATTTGGGCATCAAAAGCAGGACCTTCCATCTGAAAATGGCTGACTCCTTCCAGGAGATGCGTTTGGTTCATCTCCCCTGCAGCTTTCTTCAGCTTCTTCTCCAATTGCCCCACACTGGTGAACCCATCTTTGGTCCCCATCACAAACAGCTTCGGCTTTAGGGATTGCAATACGGCTTTTTGGTGCCCTCCAAACAGAACCGAAGCGGTGAATCCGAAAGGGTAGCCCAAGCTGACGTAGCCAACTACTTCCTCCACCTTATCAATTGCAGATCCGGCGATTGCAGCTCCGGCGGAGGATCCTACGAGGACGATGCGGCTCGCGGAGAGGTTACCGGCGGCCCACTTGCAGACGGAGACGACGTCGTTGACCTCGGCGGATCCGGTGAGGGAAGCGCGTCCGGTGGATTTTCCGGCTCCGCGGGTGTCGAATGTGATGGCAGTCAGTCCTCTACTGGCCAGACCGCGGGCCATTCCTTTCATTAGTCCCTGGCAGCCACCTAGCACTGAGTAGGGATGCACCATCACCACTACCAACGCCGCATAGTCGGCGTCCTTGTGCGCGTGATCGGCGGCGGATGGTCGGAAAATTCTGGCATCGAGATTGACTCCGTCGGTACTCTGGATGGTGGAATACTCGGTGGTTGTTTCAGACATTTTTGGAGACGGCGGGTGTGTGGACTGTGTAGATCGAATCAGTGGTCAAAAGCAAATAATTTAATCATTAATTAATCATATCACCCGTTCTATAATTCTTACAACAGTTTGACTTTCACGTTTGTCAATGAACAACTTCGACTGTAATTATATTTAATTATGTATTAGTAAATATTATAAAAAGTTGATATTTTGGAAATTCACATTGATAAGAGTTCAATAACATTTTATACGTAATAATTTGATTATGTATATTAGTAGAAAATCATGGTCAAAGTAAGATCTGTGAATAGTGTAAAAATCACAATGTTGCAAGAATTATAGAACGGAGGAAGTATTACTCCGTAGCATTAAAATAATTAAAACGCCTATCCGCATCCATTTGAACCGTTGAAGCTCAGCACCAATCACGGTTAGCCGACCGAATAAATTGGACTTCAATTCAGAACCTGTTTGGTAGAACGAAAATCGATTGTTTTGGCTGATTTTGCTAAAATTTATGAAGTTCTGTATGAAGTGACTTTTTTGGCTGATTCTGCTAATTTAAGGAAAAATTAATTTTAAAATATATTTTATTAATAAAATAAAGAAAAAATTATATGTAAAAATATCTAAAATAGTCATCTACAGTATCTTCAGCCAATACAGCCAGAAAAGTAACTTCAAATTTACTTTTTCTCCTTATTACACAATTCAGCGCGCAAAAGCAAAAATCACGTATTTGGTGAAAAAGTTGACTGATAAGCCGAAAAACAGTGTTGACGAGCAGCCTTTCAAATTAACGTTGTCTCTGCCCTTTTCATGTTCACTACAATGTAGTGAAGTTTTATAATTTATTGTTGAAAAATAGAATCGTTTTTTAAGATTGTATGTTATAAATGGCATCACAATTTTGACATGTGTTTGCCGTAGAGTTTTTTCCCGTATTAATGTTAATTAATTAATTAAGTAATTACGAAAATAGGGTTGAGTTAAAAGTATTTATTAAAATACTGCTGGATTAACCATGGTCGGGGTAAGTCGCTCAACCGTTGGGCGACTTACCCCTTAAGTAAAAACGGGGTCAGTCACAAACAGAACGCACAAAACAATTAGCCCCAAATTTATCTGAGCTGCAGCGACGAAAGCAGAAGACGACGGACGACGACCGAGGAGAGGCATCCAACTCCGGCGAACCTCCACCTTCATCTTCAACACTCTTTCTTCTTTCTTCTAGGTAAATCAAACTCCATTTCATCTCATTTTGAACTTAGGGTTTTGAATGTTAAAAATTTCGAATTTTTGGATTATGAATTGATTGTGAATTAAGTTGTGAAATGTAGATATGTATGAAATCTTGAAATTTGATTTTAAATTGATTGTAAATTTTAATGTGTATTTTGACATTTGGGCATTTGGGTAGACTTGAATGTAGCTAAATTTGGGTATTGAAAGGTAGACGTGAATGTAGATATCAAAATTTTGATAGTTTCATATTGAAATGTGAATTTTTTGTGAATTTTGATTTTTGGATATATTACAATTTTGGTAGTTTTTTCTATTGAAAATTTGAATGTGTTTAAAGTGTGTATATTGATGCCTACTCATGAATGTTGGACAATGAATTGTTATTAGAATATGGATTTCTCAAGCTTCCCAATCATATGTCATTGGAGAGTGGTTGACAACGACGTAGGCGTAGGCGTAGACATGAGCAGCAACATCTCCATGACGAAGCTGACGATGGGAACTTGTAGTTTGTCTTTTGTATTGTAGTTTTTCGTATGCAGTAGATGTTGTAGGAACAATTTACAACATTTGACGTATTTTCTCTTGTTAAGTTTTGTATGTTGTCTTGATGTGTTCGAGTATGAATATTAGATGATTACTTGTTATGAATATGAGATGATTGTACTGTGTTATACCGGTTATGAATGTAAGGTTTTGTATTTGATTTGTAAAGGGTATTTTCAAGGTGTTTCTATGTTGTTGAGAGTAGGTGTTATGTATGTGATTTTGAAGACGTGTGTTGCATGTTTAATAATGTGTTGTATCTGGCTCGTAACACTTAAACAGGAGAAGAGAGACCTTATTCATAGCAAACAGATGAGTCCGGGTTGAACTGGGGCGAAAAACCTGCTGAAATGCTGTTTTCGGACCTAGGAACGATCGTGCGTCCCAGGGTACGCACGATCGTGCGTGGCTGGCAGTAGCTGCTCGCCTTCGATCATATTTCAGGGGTAAGTCGCCCAACGGTTGGGAGACTTATAAGTCGCCAAACGGTTTGACGACTTATAAGTCTCCCAACCGTTGGGCGACTTACCCCTGACTGTGGTTAATCCCCAGCAGTATATTGGTAAATACTTTTTTCCAGCATTATTTTCGTAATTAATTAATTAATCTTTATATATATAAAGAGAACATGATGGAGATCCAAATAGAAATCTATTTGGAGCCAAAAGAAGTGAAAATTTGTTGTCACTATTAATGAAGCATTACTTAATGAAGCCATATTAAGTGCCAACCTAATTAATTGTTGTATGTTATAAATAAAATTTTAGAAAATTGTCACTATTAATGAAGCATTACATGGTGAAGCCATATTAAGTGCCAACCTAATTAATTGTTGTAAGTTATAAATAAAACTTTAGAAAATTATATTGAGCATAAATACATTAAATATTAAAAAAATATTAAAAGATACATATACATAATTAATTAAGAGACATAATATAATAAAGTTAAAAATGAAATGTTCTAATTTCATAATATAAAATAGATTATTGCAATATATTTGGATACAAATATTATGTAAAAGACAATGATAATACTCATTACCCCATTAAATGCGTCCATAATTTACTTGCATGTGGAACATAAATAAAGTAAAAATTAATTTGTATGTGATTGAGATTTTTACAAATCAGTTGAGAAAAATAATTTACCTGCATATTTATTAGTTTAAATGAAATGATAATTTTTGTTGGGACAGTTGCAAAAATAAAGTTAGCACAATTTAACAAAATGAGAGAGTAATTGTTTTTTATAATTAGCTGCAACATAAAATACAAAAATTCATTCATTTAATTCTACTATAACTATTCATTAGTATATAAGTAACTATTTTAATAATCCGTTGAAATCACAATTTGAAATAATGTTTCCCAATTCTGAAATGATTTTTAGCTAAAACATATAGTGGTTTTAACAATCTTGACATGTAGCTTTTATAAAACATATATTGAGATGAATGAAGAGATATTGTGGAGTACTCCCTCCGTCCCTAATAACTTTGCCAATTTTGATCGGCACGGGGATTAATAAAGTAAAAACTGTGTTGTTGAGATTTGTGCAGAGGAGAGAGAATTAACTGGAACCACAAATTCTTTACTTAAATGGGAAAGTGGCAAAGTTAATGGGACATCCAAAAAAGGAAAGTTGGCAAAGTTATAAGGGACAGAGGGAGTATAAAATAAATAATTTCACTTTTTAGATGGAGTATATTTAGAAATTTTAAAACACAACAGGATAGTAAAAAGTAATGTCATGTATTGAATAATCATCATAATTATAACTAAATAATACGGAGTGCGACGTATGAGATTGTAATATGATAACAATTGTTATCATCTGCATTAGACAAGATATGTTAGGGATGAAAGAACACATATTTGGTAGTTTTATACTAATTGATGATCATACATGTATTCTAATATAATTATATACCATGATTTTTATTTTTATACAATAAGTATGTATATACACATTACTCATTAAATAAATTATTTGTAAAAGTAAATTGATTTCATTTGTTCTCCGTGCAACGCACGGGTGGATTGACTAGTTAACATTAATTAGAAAAAAACCCTTAGCCGTATTACAAAGTTTATAACTCTATATATTATTACTCCTATTAAATATGGGGAAATTTATAGTTACAACTTAATAAACATTCAAGGGATCGATAGATTTGCAAAAATCACGACATAAAGTACACTTCAATATGTGAGATGAATGAAGATCTAAAAATGCAAAAATCCTTAGAAATAAAGAACTTACATTCATTCTTAATTATTATTTTTGCCTGAAACATACTCGTGATAATTATTAAAGGAACTACAATAATTACGAGTATAAAAAGCTTGATATATGATATATTGCATATCAAACAATTACTACAACAAATCAAAGAAAGGAAAGGAATAGTGACATTCCATTGCTTCCATATATATTTAGAATTGGGAAGGATGAAGTCAAAGGAGGCAGCAGCAAGCAAGAGGAGTTCCTATAACTCCATTTCTAGGTACTTTACACAAGCCACCTTTGGGATAGCCTTGTTGTTTGCATAGAGTTGCACAATCCCCTACCTTAGGTGAACATGCCCAATTACACAACTCCTCTAGTCCATCTGCATGATTCTCCAATCATTATATACCAACAACAATCACAATTGCAATAACGGAGTAATAAAACTACGGAGTTTTAAACACTATATGCCTTTATACCTGTCTACCACCATCACAAAACATCGTTATTGGATGATTAATAGTCTTGTAACTTTAATCACATAACTTGCAAATTTGGTCTTAGGATGTTTTTACTTGGATTGTAATCCGTTTCAAACCAGATCGGACCACACTTGAATAGTTATAATAAAATATAACGAGACCAGACATTACCAAACCATATCAGACCGGCAAATTACAGTCCAAGTAAAAGGATCCTTATAACTAATAAACTTTTGCACTTTAAGGACTTTTTCACCATAAAGTGCACTTATTGGCAAAAAAAATCCGATATCATATCGGTGACAACTTTTCCTATATACTGCCAGAAAGTGTACTTTTCAAGGGGAAAGCCCTTAAATCGTAAATAATAATTAGTTACATGACCAAATTTGCAATTGACTAAAGTTGCGGGACTAATAATAAAAACGATCGAAAGTTACAGGATGAAAATTGCAAATTTGCCTAATATTTATAATTATAACAGTTTTTTTTGTGTGTTTCTTATCATGCTCCTATACACTAAGGGCCCGTTTGGTAGTTTACACATTAAAACTTTACATGTAAAATGATTGCATGTAAAGTGTAGGGCTGCAATTAC